TTTGGAAACACAGGAAGGAGCAATCAGCTAAGTGAGCTTAGTGCTTGGAAAAAGCACTTTCATTCCTTTAGAGACAGCATGAAAAGTCAGCTGAGTACAAAACATAGAGAGGAAAACAAGAGGGCCCTCTGTCTGTCTTTACCTAAGGCCTCAAATTTCCTAAATCCGCCCCTGTTTAGAAGCACAGCAAACAAGACTGATCTAGGTCCATCCTGCTGTAGTTAGGCAACAATGTGCCACCAATAAGCTTCCAGAGGGAAAGTAAACAAGATTTATGAAACATTTTTATTTATCTGACTGAGTAATAGAAAAATAGTTCAGTCTGAAAAGAAAAGATAGCCTTCATTTAATTATTTATAGTATTCTATAAATAGCCCATTATTTTAACAGACATTATATGTTCCTCCCTGGAGCTACGCTGCCTCCAACATATATTTCCTATGTAAACATAATAAGCTTTGTGTGAAAATAAACTCCAAACATGAAGACAGTTGAAGGTTTAATAAAACAATTAGGTTGAAAATATAAAACATTCACATAAACTGGAAGTTTGGAGATCCGTGTCTTTAAGACATTAGTACGGTGGCCAGGAGGTGCAAACCAACGTTACAAAATCAAAAAAACTTTTGCAAGTTCCAAAACAAAATATCATTTCAGAAAACAAATTTACATAAAAAAAAAAAATAATAAAAATAAACCAAACACTTAAAAAAAATCCTAAACAAATAGCATTTTGACAAAATAAATAAAAAACATTCGAAACACTTACAAGTGATAATTAATGATAATTTGTTTTGGAACTTGTAAATGTTTTTTTTTTTATGTAAATTTGTTTTCCGAAATGATCATTTGTTTTGGAACTTATACTTTTTTTTTTTTAAATGTAAATTTTTTTTTTCTGAAATGATAATCTGTTTTGGAACTTGTAAATGTTTTTTTTTTTATGTAAATTTGTTTTCTGAAATGATAATTTGTTTTGGAACTTATACATTTTTTTTTTTTATGTAAATTTTTTTTTTTCTGAAATGATAATTTGTTTTGGAACTTGTAAATGTTTTTTTTTTAAATGTCATTTTTTTTCTGAAATGATAATCTGTTTTGGAACTTATACATTTTTTTTTTTTATGTAAATTTTTTTTTTCTGAAATGATAATTTGTTTTGGAACTTGTAAATGTATTTTTTTTAAATGTCATTTTTTTTTTTTTCTGAAATGATAATCTGTTTTGGAACTTATAAATTTTTTTTTTTTATGTAAATTTTGTTTTCTGAAATGATAATTTGTTTTGGAACTTGTAAAAGTTTTTTTTAATGTAAATTTGTTTTCTGAAATGATAATTTGTTTTGGAACTTACAAAATTTTTTTTTTTTTTTATGTAATTTTTTTTTTCTGAAATGATAATCTGTTTTGGAACTTGTAAAAGACCTTGTAATGTTGGTTTGCACCTCCCGGCCTCCGTACATTAGTCCTAAAACCTCTGATATGATACCGATATAGCAGCTCTGGGAATACACTGATACGATCTTAGCATGAATCACACGTGGTTTTATTATTGAATTTTTAATGTATAATGTTAAAAAAGTCTTGATTAAATGATATTACCGAAACAGAAAACAACAAAACGTACGAGAACGACCGACCCATGTAATGTTAACCAATAGGTTTCAAAAGCCTTTAGTGTTAGTAACTCAGTGAGCCTCTAGTGAAGCCTGAAGGCGCTCGCTGAAATGAACTAATGGTGAGATCGGCCGCCTAAAGCTGCACCTCATTTATCACTCACAGCCGGTTCCCATCCTTACCCCCCCCCCCCTTTTCTTTTGCATTCAGTACCAGGGGAAGGTTACCAGGGCCAGTAAATCTGCAATGCAGCAGAGGAGCCATTATTTCCAATGCCCTTCATTACTATGACAACACCCTTTGAGGTTCGGTATCTATTGAGCCTTTAAAGGAGACATGCACCCTTAGACCGCCCCAGAACTCCATTTATGTCGTGTTCCTCAGTATATTCTCTAGAAGCTTCACTTGTTCGTCTTATTTATGGAGAAAAAAAAAAGGTAAAAGTCATTTTTTCACCTTCGGGAAACCCTAAATAAACGTAGAATAAAGAGATAGAGTAATATATGTTTTAATCTGAAATGAACCCCTTCTTTGATCATGGGTGTAAGGCGGTAGATCCAAAGTGAGCAGTGAGTCCTTCGCCGTCTAATTCAGGGCAGTGCAGTAACCTAAAAATGATTTCCTCTCCTAGAAGACTTTCCAGCTGTTTAAAGGCGACGCTCTACTTCAGGTCTAGAGAACAAAATGACCTCCAAGCTTTTCCCCTTTTTGTAACATTATATTTAAAAACATCAGAGTCTTAATCAGACTATTTATTTTGCCAATTAGTATATGGAGTCCCACAGCTGCCAGATTTTTTTCTTTGAGACAGAAATCTTAAAAGTTTAAATTCAATTCTATTCAGTTTATTTCTATATTTCATCTCAGTTCACCAGATCATCCAGTCAGATTGATTCAAAGTTTTCTATCTAAGGAAAACCAGCTGATTGCATCGACTCATTGACTCTTCAGCAATCCCTCACACTAAGCATGCTTGTAGCGACAGTGGAGAGGAAAAACTCCCTTTGAACAGGAAGAAACCTCCAGCAGAACCAGGCCCATCTGCTGAGGCCGACTGGGGTTCAAATATGACTCTTAACAGTTTTTTTTTTTTTTTTAAAACTCTTTTTTAATGTTTTTAACTCTCTTGACCAATTTTCTGCCACCACGATGTTCATTGTGACGACTGCAGCCTCTAGAATCACTATTAGTTTTCTGCGACAGGTAGTGTTATAAAGCTTGTCTGTTCTGTTCCTCAGTCTTTATGAATCTCTTTATTCAGCAGTGATCTTCAGCATATCTTAGAGACCTTCACAGAAGACCTGTGCTCATAAATCCTTACATTTAGTTTTACCCTGGTAGGCCCATCTGATGAATTTCTGTAAGGAAATCAAAGTGCTGGATTTACTGGGAGACATTATGAAGAATCCTCTTCATTAAACCTTCATTAACCAACAGAGCTACTTTAGTCAGTTGCTTTTTAGGTTTCGCTGTAAGCAGAGGCGTCAGGTAACAAAGTCCAGATCATTTGTTCCCTCACTTCAGTAGAAATCATGTCTCTCTATGCTTTACTGGAGTAATAATTTTTTTAATAACTTTCTACTCCTTACATTTTAAAAATAGACTCGCTGGTTTTGGTTTCATTTAAGCTTATTTTCCTGGTGGTTTGTTGGTATTTAAAAAATATAAAAACCATCAAAATAATTAGTATAATCCAGACAATTAATTTCTTTGTGGACGAACTCAGTGCTGCCCCAACTTGTTGTTGGCAAATGTAATTTAATATATTGTATTTATTTTAGCCCTACTTCCCTTTTCCTTAGTCTTTACTCCACTTGTCAGGCCGCTATTGTAAAAATAACTTG